GGCTGGGGAATTCTGGGAGTTGAAGTCCACGGATCTTAAAGTTGTCAAGGTTGAGAAACACTGGTGTAGAACATGAAAAGGAGCCATGCTCACCTTCTGCTCACCACCTTGCGGCCTCCAAAGAAAGTCCTCGGCCAAAGCCACTGCCTGGCTTCCTGTCTCCGGACCCTGTTCCCGGACCCAGCCCTGCATTTCTGGCGGCAGGATCATCAGGAACTGCTCCAGGATCACCAGCTCCAGGATCTGCTCCTTGGAGTGACGCTCTGGTTTCAGCCATTGGCAGCAGAGTTCCCAGAGTTGACAAAACACTTTCTGGGGCCCCTCAGCTTCCTCGTAGCAAAACTGCCGGAAGCGTTGACATCGCAGCTCCGAGTTGAGTTTGCCTTCCTCCACCCACTCTTCCTTCACTTCCGGTGGGGAATCCAGGCCTTCAAAGAATTCAGGGACTTCCTTGCAGCCCAGGTCTGGTAGGGTTTGACCTGCAGCTTTTTCTCTGAAGCACCATGGATGGGGATCAGCCTTTCTGCTAAATGGAGGTCTAATATTCTCCTCTGGTGGGGATGGAGAAAATGGAGAGTTTCTCCCATCTAAATATGGAGCCTTCAGAACTTCTCTTCTCTGGACCTCACAGAATTGCTCCGGCCCCTCATCTGGTTCTTGCTTAATCTGAGATGTAGTTAAGCCCTTCAGACGTTCCCCCGTTGTCTCAGTTTGAACACCTGCCCTCGCTGGCCCTCTCTTTCCTGCCAAGGATCCCGCCAAATCCTGTTCCTCCATCTTTCTCCCTGGCAGGAAGAGAAATTCAAATGATTACTTTTGCACAAAAGGCAAGCCGAGGATCGATAAAGGTCTGTTTCCCCCAGTGCTTCTTGCTGATCTGGATCTGGCTTGGGGATCCTTAATGTAGTGTTTCCTCTTATATAAGAATGCCCACTTATTAAGTTGGCTCCAAATCAACTATTGATTCCACCCTTATATGAGATCAGAAGGGCAGATAATCAATACCCAGCTGTTTTACTGGATGGGAATACTCTCTCTGCAGAAATCCATTAAAATTGCTGTGAATACCCTATGGGTGCAAAAGAGGAATGTAAACCAAACTAATAAAGAAATAATTTTAAGGCAATTGCTGAAAAGTTTGAAAAAAGAAAAAACATTTTCAGCTTTTACTAGCTCAAACAGCAGATTTTCGCCTCTGCATGCTGAAAGTCCTCATCCAATTCTGAGGCCTCCCTCTTGAAGCTGCCCTGTCTGATGTGATACAAGGCACCGTTTATTTGACAGCTGGTTTTCAACCCCGTCTTTAATGGTTTTCTGCAAAAGTCTGGATGGTGCATTATTGTATTTTCTTGTAACCGTTTAAACAGTGATAGCCTTCTAAGTGCATAATGACTTTTTAAAAAAATTGAGTTCACCTTTCCCATTAAAAAAAAATGGTCAGCACCTTAGGTGGCATTAGGAGATTAAGCAGAGTTGCACAAGTTTATATTTAAATGGAAGATTGCTAGGAAATCTTGGAGCTGCGTGCTAAAATATGAAGTCAAACAAATCTCAGAAGAGGACAATCACAAGAAAGCAACCCAGAAGCCCTTTGGAGCGAAACCAAAAATCCTTTGTTTCTAAAGCTGTCAGAAAGTTCTCATTATTTTAGCAGTTGTAAAAATGGCGGGAAGCTTCTTCTCCAGGGAAAATTATATACCCACAAAAGAACTAAAAATAAAATTGAAAACCTCCACCTGTGGTGCTGTTCAGTTAGGTGGGCCGACATAAACAAGGATGCGAGATGGTCAGCCCACAGCAGTCCACTGGGAAGGTTATCTGGACAGGTAAGAGAGGCAGAGCCAGGTGCTGCATCTCAAAACCAGCCCACCTGGACAGTGCTGCCCCTTGGCTGACCCAGGATATCTCTTAGGTCTCTGTCACCAGGCCTCCAGACGCCACTGGCCTCCTCTTCGCACGGTTCATGCCCACGGAGGGTAGCACCTCTAGCCTCCAGGTTGGGAACTACATTCCCTCTGGAAGCATCCTCCGCTTCTTACCCTCCAGACCTTTGGGACCGGATCATCCCCAGCAGCGACAAAAGAACGTGGGAATGGTAGTCCCCAACCTCCCGGAAAACACCACGCTGGGAGCTGGGTTGCACCAAGATTTTGGAGCGAAAGGAAGGAGGGGGACTTGGAGGAAGCCTTTTACGGAGATCAGAGAGCCGTTTGGAGAAGCAGCAACCACGGAGGACAAGCGGCGACGCAGCGGCTTGCACGGAGCAGAAAACCTCGCAAGCAAAGGCTGGGAATCAGAAGGCGAGCGGGGAAAAGCCCGTCTCCTCCTC